CTCAGAACCTTTAGCTCTGTTTGTCATGTAACCTGACTAAAATTAAACTGCAAGAAGTTGTAGCCTGTGCTGTGAAACAAGTCAGTGCCCAACCACCACAGCCTGTCTATATGCACAGGCCTGGAGCTCAGACCTGACCAGGGACATAGAAGTCCATATGAGAAGTCCAGGGTCAACAGTACTGCTCCTTAGGAAGTGGGAGGGCACTGTAAGTAGAACCTGCCTCTACCCCACGTTGACTCTTCCTCTTGCAAGAAAAAAAAACAGGCCTTAGTTTCAGTCTGCAGGCCTTAGTTTCCCCTGTATAACTCTGATCATGGTTCCCACAGCAGTATCTGGCTGGCTGGCGCTTCAAACCTATATCTACAGCTACATGGCCTTAGCAAGTTTTTACCCTCCAGACCACTGTGCCTGCCTGTAAATTGAGGATAATACAGATGCAGGGACTGCTTCCCTGTGTGATGCTAGTGGTCTTGGGTCCTGCCCCAGCATATGTGCTGAATAAACTTCCAACCTTAAATATCATTGCTAACACACCCTTCCCTCAAATCTTTTTTCCTAGCGAGGTTGACTCTTCCTCTTGCAAGAAAAAAAAAACCAGGATCTTATAACTGCAGCCCTGTGTTCTGGGTGGGATTATAAATGGCTTCACCTTCATTATAATGGGATCTTCAACCTTCCTAATAAGGCTCATAGCACAGTGCTGGTTGTGTCTAATTCTTGGATTTTAAAGGACTCCTGTTTATTTTGTCCAGTCTCTGTCTACCACAGCACAGAACATGCTGTCAAGTTAGAGCCAGTGGCCTATTTTGAGCTCCTTATACTGAGTTTTCCTGGGTCACTGTCATGTGGGGTGCTGAAGGACTTGCCAGAAAGCCAGTATGGATTTATTGGTCATTGCTTCTGAGTTGGTGTGTTTTATCCTTATGTTTCCATTCTCAGTGTATATATATTCATATATTCTTCAGTATATGATTGAATTTCTACATGTTTCCTATTCTGGTCAAGTGGTGAGATGGCTGTCTTTCCTGAAGTTCTGGGCTTCTGTACTGAACCTGATATCAGGCTTTGGCACCTTGTGGGTCAGGACCAGGAAGGAGCTTCTTCCTGCCCCAGGTCTGTGCGGCTGCTCAGAAGGCACTTAGGCTTGTGTTTTGCAGGATCAGGGTGTTTTGCGCTCTCTAGTGAATGCTAGGGAGTCTGTGTAGATCCCTGCCTTCAAGTCTGGCCTAGCAGGGCACTGTGCCCACAGTCTGCCCTCAAGGGTTCATCCCTGAGGCCCTGCACATGGAAGCTTTGCAGCTAACTGTTTTGCACTGTCGGGTTTCTGTGGGCTTTCCCATCCGCAGGCAAACTGCTGTCTCATACAGCTCATTTGCCATCAGAATGAGAGTGTACATTTCTTCTCCCCCCACCCCCATGGAAACAACACAGAACAAAGCCTCACTTTTAAAAATGCCATGATATTTTGCCACCGTTATGAAAATCTGTCAGCACCGTATCTAATCTTCTGGTGCATAGAATATCAAAACAAGTGCTACTGAAGAGATTGCTCTTCTGCTAATACAAAAATGTCAGCCTCCTGGTCTCACAGCCAGCTGCTGTCAGCCTCCTTCCAAATGGGAAAGAAAGAAAAACACTAAAGTCTTCCCCTTTGCTGTTCTGTTCTCAGGCCTGACCCTTGGAGGAAGATCCGGAATAAGCACCACCTTGTGCTCGCTGAAGTCCTGCACTCAGAATACTCAAGTGGGCTGGAGGCTGGCAGCTCGAAGGGTGGCAAGCAAGGCAAACAGCGGGGCTTTCGGGTGGTACCCAGCAAGGCCAGGCCTCAGAGAGAATGAAGCTGCTCCTACATCCAGGAGCTCACCACCAACCAGCAAGCTTCTTTTGGTTTTTAATCTCTCTGCAGGACCAGGTCAGGGTAGATCGACAGACCCTGTGGCTTTAGATTGATGTCCTGTTCTTATCAGGGAAGCTTCCTGAACACAGACCTGTTGGAGGAGGAGCCCTGATGGAAACCAGCAGGCAGGGGCCAGTGCTAGACAGTCACCTGCCTTTCCTCAAGCCTCTTGCAAGATTGTGCACAGGGACAGCAAAACATCCTGTGTATCAGCCTGGAAGAGTGTGGCTCCTGGCGAGCTTGCCAGATGAAGCTGTCACACATGTATTACATGAGTGTTGTAAGATGGAATGTTAAAAACTGGAACTGAACTTGTACAAAAGGATAAAGTATTTATTGAATAGCTATTGTCTCAGTGTCTGCATGTTCTGTGAGGAAGGACCGAGAGAGCTTTCACTTTGGGTCAAAAACACTGCTTTCTTCCATAAGCCCGGCATAGCGCCATGTGCATTGCCTCCCCTTTCATGTCCACAGAAGACTAGCTCTCTCTGGGCTAATTGACTTACTGTTGCCTTTTTATTAGCTGCCTTTGAAGTCAAAAGGCACTAGCACCCGAGCTCGCCTTTTCCCATCGGAGCCTGTCTTCTCTTCGAGGTCTGAGGTCTTTGTGTTGTGACCTAGACCCAGAACCCCCACACACCATTGTGTTTCTGGGAGGTTTGAAAGAGGACCCCTGGAGCGTATTGATTTCCCAATAAATGTAAGATTTGGACATTACAGAGGACTCATGAGAGAAAGGGTTAAAAAGCTCAGTGTGCTCTGTTTGGGTTCCTGTGTGCCCAGCCCACCCTGGCCCTCTGAAGCCCTAGGGCAAGTACTATAGTGCCATTTTGCTCCTCTCCTGAGAGCAGGCAGGGTGGAGGATCAGTTAACACCAACACTAGGGAAAAAAAAACCCTGTGCAGGGGGAGCATGGCCTTGCCAGGACTGGCAGTCACAAACTCAGAGCCTGCTGGTGATGTTTGTGAGGATGCTCTGCAGCTGCAGCAACTATGGAACTGACTGGACAAACCAGCCACTTTTCTTTGGATTTGTAATGACTCCCATGCTTTTGATGGGAAATGAGGACTCAGACCATGAGGAGTCACCCAGCTGTGTGAAAACAGGATTAGTGCCTGTAATCGGGGATGGCCACATAAAAACCTGTGTCTGCCTCCCAGCAACAGGCCCTAACAGCTCAGCTGCAGGGCCGTGAGGTGAGGCGTGCTGAGACCTTCGCAATGACTAACCCTAAAGTTGAAATGTACACATGTAGTTTTCTGACTAGCAAGGGTGTCTTGTTAAAGATGCTGGTGGACTTGGTGCTTAGGTAACATAGTACCCAGTCATCAGGAGACAGACTTGGCAGCTTCAGGGTTAATGTTCTCTCAGTTTAAACAACCTTCAAATGAATCTCTTATGGATCTTGATAGGATGTACATCCCAGGTATCAGTTGGACACAATGTTAGCCTAGTTCCAGTGTACATAGTCTGATTTTGTGTGTATTTTTAATCATACCTTTTTTGTAGGGTTCCAGACTTGGCATTCTCTCAAATCAGCCTGGTTACCATATTAAAGTCTCAGGAGATTCAGACAGCAAAGGGGGTGCTGTGGCTGTAGATGCTTGTTTGGGGGTCCAGAGCCTTGCCCATTTGCAGCCCACTGCTGTCCATCTTGTGAAGAGCCACCACTGGACGACAGGGAGCCCTGGAGCAGCTGTCTGCAGTGGGACAACATGGGTGTCCTCCACTCCCACAGAATCCGGGGCCAAGCAGAGCCCGGCTGAGGATGGTTCTGACAGTCAGAGGGCCAGAGGGTCGCTTTGATTTCTCCTCACTGGCACAGAAGAGAAGGGGGAGTGGGCCTCACAGTGCACGTGGTTCTGAGCTGCCAGTGGCCGGGTCCAGCACTTCACAGCCAGCAGAAGCCACTCCCAGAGATGGAACTTCAGACCTTTGCAACGACAAGTTTCCCTGATGGAGAAGTGATTAACAGGCCTTTCCTGTTTGCCTCCATGACCACCAAACTTTATCAGTCTGCTAGACCACAGGAAATACAAAGCCAAGTTGTTGGGGTAGCGCCCCCAATTTAAAAAAAAAAAAGGTCCAGGTTCCAAAAGCCTCGTAGCTCAGGGACAGCTAGAAAAGCCAGCTTCTGCAAACTTGGTTGCCCCTGCCCTTTGGAGGGAGTCCAGATTTAGAAGAAAGAGTGTGTTTCAGGGCCTGCCTGTTGTTTGGTCCATGGGGGTCTCATGGTCATTCTTTTTTTTTCCTGTTTTAAATGAGGGCACCCAGCCCCTGGGTTAGGAACAGAGAAACCAATTTAGCCTTGTAAATGGATGGGAGGCTCAAGCCCACCTCACTGCAGAGGTTGTGGAGTTATTATTACAGATGGGATGTGCGGGACAATTTAAAATATTGTAATTATAAACTTGTAGGGAAGCCTTGTTCTTCATTAATGTAAGATATGAAATGGCCTCTGCGGTACAAGGACAATTACATAGTCAGAATGTGTCTGCGGTTTACACTGCACTGTGTAAATGTGAGGGTGGCTGCTCCAGCCTGCCTCCTCCACTCTCACAAAATGAAAAGCACACCACCGCAAGTTGTCCTTTGATAGATTTTTAATATGATTTTAAAGAGTTTTGTTTGGTCTCATTCTTATTCAATGAGATTAATTTAAAGCACTTATCCCCTGGGTTTAAGTCAATCCGTGTAGGATTTGGGCAGGGTTTGTTGCTTGGGGGGTTTTGTTTGCAGGAGGCTATGAGAGACTCCTTTCCCACTTCATTAACCCTGAGTTGGGGACAGTCCCCCCTCACACCCCACCACAGCCAGATCGAGGGATTTACCAACCCGCATTCACATGCAAAAGAACTTGAAAGCTGAGGGGCTCCTTGACTTAATTAGCTGCTGTGCATTTTGCAAAATTAGAATAATACCCCCACCATCCCAGAAAAGAAAAGCCTGGGTGTGAGGATGCTGGGGGGTGGGGAGGAAACAGTAGCCGAACTGGCTGCGGTTGCGGGGGGGGGGGGGGGGGGGGGGGGGGGGTGTACTTTCTGAATGCGTCCCCTCCCTCCACTGCCAGGTTCTCTCCCAGAACAGTTAGGCCAGAAATGCTGGGAGGGTACTTTGCTTGCAAGCATCCAAACTTCCGGGCATTTCTTCCATCTTGTTGGTCAGTGTGCTGCAGGTGGTGTGGGGGAGGGCAGCACCTGCGCCCATATCCCGGGAGACCGAACGAAGTCAGGAGGTGACCTTGGCCCTTTGAACGTGATTTGGAGTCTGACTCCCCTGAGATCTCAGAGCCAGAGGCGGGTGGTGCGATCTGCCCCCTACCCTGCTCCTATTTCTCTCAGGGCGAAGGGGATGGGGAGTAGATGATGGATCGGGCAAAGGGGTGGCCTGATGTGGCGTCAAGCTCGCGAAGGCCCGTGGGGTCCTACCAGGCATTAGAGACTAGGAGCTGCGGGTAGCCAGAGCGGAGGGCGCCGGGCCGAGGAGGGTGGGGCAACAGGGAGCGGCTTCGGAGTCCATCTGTCTGCCCCGCGCCCGGAGCCGGTCACCAGCTGCCGGCGCCCTAGTCTGAGCCAGATGAGTCGGCTCAGTGAGAGCTTCGTGACCTGTCACGCAGCAGAGGGAGGCCAGGCACTGGCCTTGCCCGTGGTCCCCGTGCGGAAGCAGGGCGAATCAGATGGAGAGGCCAAGAGCTACAGGCTCGCCTCGATGTGGAAACCGGGAGAGCGCTGGAAGTCCAGCCGGGGTCTCCTGCGTATGACCATAGCACCCAGGAACCGTGGAGCGGGGCAAGAGGGAGAGGAAACTTTACTTTTTGTGAATGGAAGGAAATGTAGTGTAAGATGCCGAAGTTTCTTATGAAGGAAGGGGTGGGAGAGAGCCTGAGCGGGGACCAACGGACGGTAGCGCGGACAGGCGCCTGGTCATTTGTAAGAAGTTTATTTCCACATTTAAAAAAGAGAACCCAAGAGGCCTGGCTGCCCCGGGACCTGGGTGGAAGGGAAGTGGGGCTGGGGGCCCGGATGCATGGGCAAGCCCTCTCGGCCCCTTCCTGTCCCACCCAGGACGGGGAGGGCACAGGCCACAGACTCACTGATTCACGGACACTGTCACGGGCTCATGGGTCACGAATAAATAACTTCATATACACTTTGCACACTGTATGTACAGCTCTGCCGCTAGCCCGGGGCTCAGGGAGAATAAAGGAGATGGGGGGGGGATGCTCCGAACAGCAACACTCCCACCCTGTCCCGCAGAGGCGCGGGGAGAAGGATGGACCCGAGGCTGGGGCACCGGAGAGAGCCAGTCACCGGCGTCCCTTTACCTGCTGCTGAGGGGACAGGGAGCACTTAGGGAAGCCCGCAGGGACTTTGGGGTTGGGTGGGAGGTGGGCAGGGGCGCGTATGTACATCCGGCAGGTGGAAGTGGCTCTGGGGTGGAGCAGTCAGGAGAGAGGACGCAGCGAAGGGGTAGCCTCAGTGGATTTATCCCCCTCGGGGACACTAGGTTGCGGCACTGCGGGGAGTCGGGCAGCCCTGCCCCGGGGCGACGGGAGGGACCCGCGCCCAGCCTGAGCTGGGGGCCCCGGAGCACGGCTAGGGGCAAGAGGGCGCCTCACCGAGGCTGCGCGGCGCGCGGGAGGACGCCGGGCAGCGGGGGCAGCGGCGGGGGCGGCTCGCTGGCGCCCTGGAGTCCGTGGATGAGGATGCGGGGCACCAGAGGTCTCTGGAGGGCAGGCGGTGGCGCACTGGGGCCGCGGTACAGATAGAGCGCGGCACCCGGGTCCAGGTTGGAAACGAGACTCTGAGGGTAGAAATAAGGCGACGGGAACATTCTCTGGAGCGCCGAGTAATTGCCTGCCTCCGCCAGCAGCTCCAGCCCCACGGCCGTCTGTCGCTTCCACTTAGTCCTGGAAACCGAAATCAAGGCAGAGGAAGGGATCACGATTAGGACACTCCACAACCCTTGCCCCTTCCTAGTAATTGGCACAGAGAGTCACGAGGTGCCAACGGGGAGAATGCTAATTTGTTAATAAATAATGGATTCCCAAGTCAAATGCATCATGCATCATCCCATCTTCCACTGGCTTTACATGACTGTTGTCCCCATTTTACAGATTGAAACCTTGATGTGTGAGCCAGTTTTCATGATCATCTGCAAGTGGCAAGCAGAGCCCCTGCTCCAAGCCAGACTGTCTGACTCCAAAGTGCACATACAAACTCACAGGTCGGGTACCCTCTGGATATGCTTCCCCAGAGGAGGCCTAATGACACTGGAGTGACAGAGAGGGTGACAGAGCTGGCTACTGGGTAGCCAACCCCCAAGGGGGTAGCCCTGGAGGCCTAGGGGACTCCAAGCAGAGATTTTTCTGGAGGAATGCATGCACTTTCTCTCCGCCTCTGACTACACTCAGGCCACCTAGGTTTGAGGCCTGGGGCTAGCTGGTCCCAAATCCCTCTGGCCCAGAAGTTGGGAGGCCTAGGGCAAGGCAGATGTGAGGAAGTGAAACTGGAGGCTCTGCACTCACCTGGGGTGAGGTTGGGCATGCCTGCCTGGGTTCCATGAGGTGGGCTCAGGCACACTAGCCCTGTTTCCCTCCCCGAATAATTCCTCATCTCATCGTCATAATTGTGTAATTACTGCAACGAGCCTTAATTATTGATGCCTGAAGCCGTAATCGGTATTTATTATTAATGGGGCTGTGTGTTCTGAGGCTTGTTTATGGAAGGCACCATTCCTGCCTCTGCTGAGTATGTAGGAGAGTGTGTCACTATGCAGACTGACATATCTGTGCACGTGTATCTTACCGGTTTCTTTAAATCCTATGAATGTCCAACAAGGAGATTAAGAAGCAGGTTCAAGACCAGTGTCCTAATACCAATTTCCCAGTCTTTCTCTCCCAGAGGAGCTGGGGTAATGCTACTAGGCCACTGATTCCTAGTACAACCACCTCAGGACCTCTCTGTTTTTCTGGAGACTTGGACTGCCACTCTCCCTTCGTGGCTTGGGCCTTCCATCTGAAGAGCCCAGAGGCCTCAAAGTCTAGCCTAGGCCTGGTTCCTTGGTGACTGACTTAGGCTGGGCTTTAGCAGTTCCTTGGTGACTTAGGCTGGGGTTTAGCAGGGCTTGACTCTCTATTAGCCTCTGTGCCGGTTCACCTGTCTTGGATGTCAGTCTAGTGTCCTTTCTGTTCCTCACTGTGGGGCTTAGGGCAAGGTCTTTTCTCAGAGCCTCAGTTTCCCTACTTTTACAGAATGGGAGAGACCCAAGGCCCCGACCGCGCGCCCTGCAGCCAAACCTCACCTGCGGTTCTGGTACCAGGTCTTGACCTGCGTGTCAGTGAGGTTGAGCGAGGCAGCCAGCTCCATGCGGTCTTGCACGCTCAGGTATTTCTGCCTCTCGAAGCTACGCTCCAGCTGCGCCAGCTGATGGTCAGTGAAGGCGGTGCGCGCTTTTCGTGGCTTTTTCAGGCGCACAGGGGGACTGTCCCTAGAGCTGGAGATCTCGCGGTCACCCTCCTCCTTCACTGCGGAGACACAGAAGGCATGTCAGGGCTCGGTAGTGCTTGCGCCCTCGCGTCCCACTCCCCACTCCACAAGGCACAGACCTCTGCGTTTCCGAAGCACCGAGCGCACAGGGACGCATCGGTGCCAGGATTCCCTGCCCTCAGAAGGGTGTGAACTGCGAGTGAGGAGGAAACGGTGCTAGGAAGTGCCCGGGGGCAGAGCCGCTGGCAGCTCCCTGAAGAAACTCAACCTCCCACCCACCTCACACAAACACGGAGGAGAGAGAAAGTCAGCCTCGGGGCAGACTGGCCTGTCTGCCACTGGCCGAGAACGGGTTTTTGGGTGGTGGGCTCCGCGTTTGGGCGCAAAACCTGCATGGAGAAACAAAACCCTATTCGCTCCTCAGCACCCCCTCGTCCAGAAGAGCAGATAATTGTGCCCACATCTCACTGACCCCGGGTTAGCCAAGAATCTGTAGCGATAGATTGATTCCTAGGCCACTTCCGAACTATGCGGGTAGAAGGCCGGCAGGGTGCGGGTATCTGCGAGTGCCAAGCGCGGGGAGAGAGACTCATCATCCCTGGGCACGAAGGGCTGTGTGTGTCACCGAGGTAGGGGCTTCGTTGTGCCCACTGTGGCTCCCACCCCACCGGTGTAACGATCCTGTGGACACCCTTCGGTCAGGCAAATGGCCATCTGTTCCCCGCTCCTGAGGTCCACCGTGGACCGGACAGAGCTGGATTAGTTCATTTTCCTCTACTTTCGTTGGGGTTGACTTAACAGAAAACATTTAATCGAAAGAGTCTGGCATCTCATCACCTTCTCTTAAGGCGAGATTGGAAGGGAATAGTCCACTTCTCCCAAAATAACCCTTTGGGCTGGGCCTCCCGCCCACCCTACCCCCTGCTTTCTTTATTTTCTTTTATAGTGAGTTTCATTGTGCGTGGCGTTTGCCATGACAGGGTTCAGCTGAATGCGAGGTGATTCCTCTCTGTAGGAAACAATAATCCGGTTAATTGAGCCACTGGGGAGGGAGGCTTTTCAGCCGGAAAGGCAGGGCTTCCCGGCAGGGAGGGAGCCTGGAGCCCCAGCACCCGGGCGGGCGCACAGAGTCCTGGAATAACTGCCCCAGACGGCCGGCCTTCAGCCTTCTGCCTCTGCTGGGAGGCTTCGGAACCCTCAAAGATAAAGATGAGTTTTCTCTCTGGAAAGCCTAAAGCTTATCCTTGTTCAAACTTCAAACTTGATATTGCAGAAATCTTACTTTACCCTCCCTAATTACTTGGATTACTTATTACAACCCCCCATTCTGGTGGGATGGCCAGCCACTTTTTTTTTTTTTAACTTTAGTCCTTTCCTGACTCTGCTGGAGCCTTTGGGACTCTCACCCAGTTCAGTCTGACTGTCTGTCTACCTTGTGTCCATTTCTCAGACTTTGACCTGCATCCCATCAGTCTAGAGCCTGATGGCTGGAGACCCTTCCTGTGGGGAGTGGAAGGAACCCTGGTCTGGTTTCTCCTAGAGTCCGGACTCCAGCCAATGTGCTGTGGCCACCTGCTTTACTTCCAAAGCTCTGTTCCAACTTCAGTAAATACTGTTTAAGGAAGCTTTCACGCCAGAAACTGTGATGGGACTGGTCTGTCCCCCACCCCTTCCTCATCTCATCCTTGGAGGAAATGACTCAGAGTATTCCTCTGGCTAGGCGGTGGTGGCACCTGGTTCCTGTGTCTGTCTCTCAAACCAGCTTCCTAACTCTGCAAAAGTCACCCCTGTTTGAGAAATGTGCTAGGCCTGGCTTTGCTCTGCCAATGTACACACACACACACACACACACACACACACACACACACACACACACACACTTTTCACTTCAGAGAGTTTTAAGTGCAAAAGCAACAGCCTGTGCCTAGAGGTGGCTGGAACTTTCTACAGCATCCTGTGCTCCAAACCTGTTTAAGTGATACGTAGACAGCCGGCTCTCGGCTCTCTCGTCATCTCCCTGCTCAGATATCATCAGGGACAGGAGAAGAAAATTGATATTCCAATTATCTTAAACGAAATGGAATCTCTCCTCAAAATCCTGCTTAGGGGCAAAAACATAAAAGGAGGCAAGTGTTCGCACAGGCAGGGCTGGACCTGATTGCTCTTTGCTCTAACCATGAAGCTAGGTAGAGTTGGTTACAAATTATAAGGAATAAAATACACACACACACACACACACCCATGCATACACACACACACACACACACACACACACACACACACACACACACACAATGTGATACATTATATCTGCCTTTCACTCACACACCTTTCTCCAAGGTGAGTTCTCTTTGCCTCTCTAAACAGGTGGGGGGGGGGGCTGCTGGGGCCAAATTTCCCTCTTCCTGGGTGCTGTAGTTGAAACTGTGGGCTTTCTAGAGATGATGGGTCCATGGCCTGGTTGAAGGGGGCCTAGCCATTTCCACTGGGGGAAGGAGAGAGAGATGAGGTGTGGACGCTGATTGTTTCAGTTTGGAGTCCAGGTCTCCCCTCAAAGGAATTCTTGATTGGAGGAAGATTAAGTGAATCTAACTAAATAGTTGTGAAATTTAGCACAAATGGATACTAGGAGATGCAAGTGTTGGTTCAAGGGAGGGATTTGGGGAATTAATTTGTAATAGTTGCAAAGCCAGGAGGAGTCTCCAGCAGGTCCTGGTTTTCAGCTGGTTGGCATAGAGCTCCATCCCTGCTCCCTCTGACACCCAGGGCCTCTGCCACTTAAGTTCTTCCTGAAAGAACCTTATACCCCTGGACCTAATAAACAGCTAAAGTCGGGGGGGGGGGGGAGCCTAAAGATAAGAAACAAGACTAAAGAACACTTTCTTTCTTTCCTCCCTCCCCTCTGTTCTTTTTTTCTTTCTTCTCATCCTTCCGCCTTTCTTTTTAATACCACCTCAGCTCCTTGGTTAGGACAGAATGAAAAGGGAGCCACCACAAAGATTCCCAAAGTGAAAGTGGGGGTAACTGGACCTGCCACTCAGAAATCTCTAGGTCTTCAACACAGCTTGGTGATCACTACTTAAGTAAGACCCAACCAAGAGAGAGAGAGAGAGAGAGAGAGAGAGAGAGAGAGAGAGAGAGAGAGAGCAGCTGTGTGGATGTGGGGTCCTTCCCCCTCCACTGGACCTCAGAACCTGTTCCAGCCAGCCAGCGGGCTAGGCTGCCTGCTCCTTCTTCAAATTGATCTCTTCATTTGCAGGTTTACTGGCCTAAGACTACACTCCCCAACGGGTGGGGAGGCCCACTTTCTCCTCTTGTTGGGAAATTCAGATTCAAAGCCAGAAGATTCTTACTGTAGTAAGGGCTCTGGCAGGAATTTTCTGCCAGGCTTTCACTCTGACAAAACAGCACCCTCCAAGCTTTGCACTTTTGCAAGCTTTCCTCCCGGGAACCTCGGAGGGTGAGCTTCCTGTCCGCCAGCACAGCTGGCGGAGGAGTTGTGGCCCCCGTCTGGAACTTAGAAAGTTTGCTTTGTGCATCTGGTAAAGCTTGCTCTCCCTTACACACACTGTCTCCCTCAGCCTCACACACTGAACTCCTTGTTGCTCCAGGGTCCAACCTTGGGGCTGGCAAAGAGGTCGAGACAAGACCAACTCTCAGCCTGGGCCTGAGGGACCCCTGAGATGACTATGTGCCTGTCTCCAAGTGTGCTCTCAAGTTCTAAATGTCACTTTTTAGAAACACCCATATCCCGTTTTCACCTTGTTTTCTTACCTTTGTATTCAGAGTCCGACGAGGCGCTGCTGACACTTTTGTCCAGCTTATCGCGAAAGTCCTCCCCGGCCTTGGCCGCAAGGCGGCCCCCAGGCTCAGGGGCTGCAGGCTGCCCGCTGCTAGAGTAGGGTGCACAGGCCGCGAGAGGTTTGCAGTCAGCAAGGATGTCCCTGATCAGAAAGGAGGAGGTGACGGTTCGCGACTGGGCTGGGGCTGAAAGCTGCCCCGGCTGCAGGTGAGAGTCCAAACCTGGGCCAGATGCCGCACCGGGCCGCGAGGTACTGGTCTCCAGACAGTCTCTTCCCGGCGAGGCTGGCGAAGAGCAGTCGCTGCTGCTCTCTGAGCGTGGACTCAGCTCCAGGGGTGAACGGCAGTCCCCAAGCAAGGGGTCCCCCTTGGGAAGGGCGGGGCTGCCCGCTCGGTGGGAGAGAATGGAGTCAATCCCAAAGCCATTGGAGCCTTCCATAGCCAAACTGCGACCTGTCCTCCCCAAAAGCTCCCCACCCACCCCCAACCCCAGCCGCCACTGCCCCTGCCCCTAGCTGCGGGCTGGCATGGGGAAGGCGGGCAGGGAGCCTGTGGGCACCTTGGACGGAGTTCAGCCTTGGGGGGAGCCCGGGAGCTCTGGGCCAACCTCCTCTGCGCATTACATCCAAAAGGGTTCAACGCGTCTTCTGCAGCACCGCGCCGAGCAGCCGAGCCGAGGGGGGGGTGGTGGTGGGAGTGTCGGGGAGGAATGGGAGGAGGGCGCGCCAAGTTGGGGAGAGCCAAAAGGTAGAAGAACGGCCTGAGGGCCCCTTTGGCACCGAAGAAATGCGAGGCTGTTGGAATCTGAATCAAGATCGTCTTTTTAAAAAAGCAAAATCCAAACCGCACGCTTCCTCCAAGGCAAACGGTAGCCGAGGGCAGGGGTCAGCACGGCGGAGAGCAGCCCAGGCGGCCCGGGCGGCGGAACCCGCGGGCGGAAGAGAGCGCACCTGCAGGCCCCAGCACCGCGGACAGCGGCGGCGGCCCGCGGCCCGCGCCGCTCCACCTGGCCCGGAGAGCCTGCGTGCGCACTCGGCCTGGCCGGGGGCCGTCAGCACCGCGGACAGCGCCCCGCGGCTCCCACCGCAGCTCTCACCTGTGCTCGGCGCGCGCCTTCGCCGCCCCCCTTCCTTTAAAAAAAAAAAAAAAATCGAACTTGTGTCACTTTTACTTTGGGGCTGGCTTTTTTTTTGTTGTTTCTCTCTCTCTCTCTCTTTTTTTTTTCGTTGTGTTGTGTTTTTTTTTTTTTTTAAAGGGGACTCACCCACGTGTCCCCGGAGTGATGACGCTGATTGGCTCCGGTCGATTTTGGGGGTGATGTCACGGCTCCACAAGCCGCGGCCCGATTCTTTTCCAGTTTGATTAAAAGAGACACTGAATTAATTACAGCACAGACCTGTTTACCGGCGATTTCCACACAGTTTGCTTTCATTAGGTCGGCGATGACGCCCCTAATGAAGATGATTAGCTGAGGGGGGCCGAGGCCGGTGGGAGGAGGGCCAGCCCGGCTGCGTGGCCTGTAGTTGGGATGAGCGGCCTTGAAAGCCTTTCCGGAGCCTGTCCACAATTATTCAAGCTACTCGACCGAGCTGCGGTCGTAAATCCCTTTCCTGCCTCCGGTTTTTCTTCCTCATCCCACAGAAAGGCAGCAAAACCCAATGGAGGAAAGACTGGCGTGCGTAGGGAATCCCTTTCCTAGTACGAAAAAGAATTTAAAATTTTGTTTTCTGGGTGTTTTGTTTGGGTTCTAGATCTCTCTCTCTCTCTCTCTCTCTCTCTCTCTCTCTCTCTCTCTCTCTCTCTCACACACACACACACACACACACACACACACACGCATGCAGGACATGGCAATCCTCTCCTTCTGGCCTCTGGGCCGGCTGTCCTGGAGCAGAAGGTTAAGCCTGATGTCTTTCAGAGAAGACACCCCAGCGCTGCCTTACTGGGAGGCAAGAGTAAGAGTTGAGCCGTGGGAAAGATCAAGTCTAGAATGTTAAGGGGACCCACGGATATGACTATGGCCCGAAGAAACAAAGAAAGCAGTGACCTCTTCATCCCCAGCCAGTGGCCTCCCTGGGGCTCATGTCCTGAGAAGCTAGTGGGTTTTAGATACGTGTGTGTGTGTGTGTGTGTGTGTGTGTGTGTGTGTGTGTGTGTGTGTGTGTTTTATGTACCTCTAGACAGGACAATGCAAGTTTTGAGCTGGCACAAAGATGACGAAGATGTCTAAGGTCAGCTTGGTAGTCAGCGCCCAGCCATGGCTGGCCTGGGTTCTATTTTCAAGGCAGGGCTGAAAATGAAAACACCAAACACGGCCTTTTCCCCTTCGCCTCTGGACACCACTACTGCGCTCTAGTTCCGCGACTTTTGGGGGTCAGCCTCTGGTAGTGCCGGGGCCCAAGACCCCAAAGTAGCTGCAACGGATGGCGCCTGGATTCTCTGCGCTCAGCCCCCGGACCGACGGCGTCCACGACGGAGCACAGCTGCGCACCTGTGCAGCAGGGGCCCGAGTGGCCAGCCCAGCAGCTCGCGGGGAGCCCAGACTTTCCCTTTAGGCGCGCTCCTACCCCTCGTCCTGGGCCCTTGGGAAACTATTTGAGGCCCGCGTCCGGCTAGGCGGGAGTCCGAGGCCGCGGTGGAATCGTTAAGCGCCGCCGCATCCAGCAAACGCGTTCTCCGGCCGTGAGTGGCCCCTCGCAGCGCGCAGAACGGAAACTTTGTCCTCACCCGGGCTGGGCCGCCGGCGGCCTCGCGCCCCGCTCCCCCGCGCTCCCTCTGCTCCTGCCGGCAGATTGGAAGCGGCCTCGCCGCCGGCCGGGCTGGGAGCGGAGGACCCGCTGCTCCCGGGGGACGGCGGAGGGCCAGGCTCGGCTGCAAGCTGTCGGGGAGGCGGGAGGGCGGGGGCACCCGGCCGGAGCTCGGCCGCCCCTGCGCTGGGTGCCTCCCGCCGGGCCTTGCTTGTCTTTCTTTTCAGTTTGGTGGATGGGGGTGAGAGTCATAAATCACCGTGAGCGGGTGTCTCGGGGGCCTTCCTTGCCAGCCTCCCGCTTGGGCTTCTCTCCTGCTGCAAGCGGGTCTCTCTTCGGCTGCCGGTTGCCTACACCTCCGCTGCTTCTCATCTCAGGAGGACCCTCATCTTTCGTAGCACCCTAAGTCCACATGAGTCGAAGACATCCCACTCTTTCGGGTCCTGTAAACATTGCTGCGGCGGCGGCCGGCCGGCAAAGAGCTGCGGTTTCTGTAGATATCATGTCTCCAGCCTCCTCTGCCTCATGGGCTCCTAACAGCTCCTGCCCTGGCCAGCCTTCTAGGTCTTAGACTTTGGTAGAGATCTCGGACCCAGCAAAAGTGAAGCCTATAGCTCACAGTTCAGAGTCCAAGCAGGCAGAGAGGAAATTCAGATCTCTCTTAGGGCAAGGGGAAAAATAAACCAGGCCGGGACTCAAGCTCTTGCAGCCCTAGCCGGCTTCTCTGTGCTTCTCCGAGGCCCAAGAACATTTAACAGCCAGTTAATATAACATCATTAGTATTGAATTATTATTGTAATATAAATTATTGTAATCTATAGCAATGTAAAACATGCTGTGTGGGGTGTTTCGTCTGGAATTTAGGGTCTAGCCCTCTTTCACATGACTGCTTCTTTCCAACTCTGGTGTTGACCAGAGGTACTTCTCCAGCCTCCATCATCTGGCAGGCTCTTGATCCCAGCCTGTTTGAAGCAGCCTGAAGGAGATACGGGAAATTTTTACCAAGTGGTCCAGACAGTCTGGATCCAATGCACTCACTCTTCAACGGGGAAGCCTGCTTGACAGGGAGGGGTGTCCGGACTTGGAGGTCCTAAGTTGTTGGGTGTGAGCCTCTGCGAGTTTTCCAACCTCTCGGAGTGCCCCCCACCATACACTTGTGTAGTGCACAGTAGGATGTCAACCTGCTTCCCAGACACCTGTCCTCCAGCACTTCTTGGCCCCCCCCCCCGAAGACTTTGGGGGACCTTGATGGAAGGAAGGAAATCTGATGAGCATTTCTATGGGACCAGTCAGTGTTACCCCCAGGATCCAGAGCTGTCACCCCAGCATCTAAATCTCTTCTTTCAGGCTTCCCACCCCAGACCCCGGAGATTTTCTCCCAGCTTCCCCACTTCCTCTAGCAATTCCTTGTTTCAAATTCCAGTCCCCACGTGCCCCCGCCCCGTGTGAAATTACCTCTCATAGATCCAGAGCCCCTCAAAACCCGAGAACACCCCACCAGAGAGGGTGGAGCCTGGGTAGACAGGTGTAAGATGGAGCTTCAGAAGCTGGCTCCCCTGCCTGCCTCTGAACTTGTCTCCTGCTAGGGGCTCGGGTTTCTCTTTATACAAAGGCACATACAGAGCCTTCTCCTAAGACGAGGGGGTGGGAGAGGCCTGTGGGTGTTATGAGCCGGCCTGGCTGTAGATTCCAGCCTTCTCCATCAGACCTAGGCTTGGCTGTGGGTCAGGGCTAGACCTGGAAGCTTCCTTTTCCCAGTTCCACCTCATCCCCCCCTTCTTCTCCCTCCCTCTTTCCCTCACACCACTCAGCCCTGGGATTGGACACAGGCTTGTTTCTGCTCTTTGTGATTACCTGGCTCTGCAGGCTGAGCCATACAGAGATGTTTCCGTGTCTTCGGAATGCCCCTGAGGTCTGTGCTAATATATATAAACAGCCGCTATTCAAGCTTTGGAGTCGCTGAAGAATGAGGCCAGGTGATTTTGAATACTGACTCAAGAACGGACCAGAGGGATTGGAATCCTAGCTCCAAATCTCAGACTGGGACCTAGTGACCCAGGCAAATCTTCATTTACGATGTTTATTTTATCCATCCTGAGTTTTAGATTTTTTATTTTAAATGATTGCACTTTAAATATTGTCTTTGTTGCTGAGTTATTTTGGTATTCCCTTAAAATCTGCATGTGCTCTATTCTGGGACCCTGAGAAAAGTCACTTTTCAAAAAAAGGGCAGGTTGCTTTCTGAGCCTTGTTTGTTTGGTTTTCTGATTTTCATTTTGTTTAGTCTTTCCATCTATAAAATGAGGCTGATGACACCCCATTTTCTGGGGTTCTTCAGAGGCATCTCCGAACTTGGTTCTGATCCTGAAGAACAGCTATTGTGCATTCATAGTTCCACAATTACGTCCCTGCCTGCAGACTAGAGGCCCCAGGCTCAGTTTCCCTCAGCCCAGGAGACATCCGTTCACCCTTTGCTCAGGACCTTCCTACCAAAGCCAGTTCTTGGGGCGGAGGATTGGGGGTGCAGTTTAGGCCTGAGGGTGTCTCTGTGCTCTCAGGCAGGTGGGTCTGAAAGACTCTGGACAAACAGCAGCCTTGAGGCCAGGCTGTTCTCAACTCTTTGTACTTGTTTAGGTCAAGGCTCTGGGGAGCTCCTGAAACCAGAGGAACACATTCTTCCCTTTCCTCCCTCCCTCCC